ACTCTCTACTCACATATTCGTAACCTTTCTATTTCATAATATTGTTCCCTAACCATTATTTGTTCAACGCTTCTTATGTTGGTTTTTTGAAAATGACTCACCGACATAACCTGATAATAAGCTAAAAATGACACTATGTTTGTGTACATACGGTATTTCCGCTGTTATTTTTGTGTGTTCAGCTATGTGCCACCAAAAGCAGCATCAGATGTGGAAGGATGGTTATGTGAAGATAAGCCAATGATAGAAGAGGAACTTAACAAGCAAAACAATTTACTAGCATACTTACATCGACAGGTCAGAAATTTTTTGCATTTTTTTTCTGAAGAAATTAAGAGGGAGAAACATAAGGAGTTAACTTAGTACCCTCATTCTTTGGAGAAATTGAACAAGCCTCGATTTTTTCTATTATTATTTATAATGATATTTGTTTTTCTCCCACCTACTTCTACTTCTTTAATTCTTAATAATCTTACATCTTTAGTCTGCTTTTTACATCCTCGCTTCCGTTTGTCCGTCTTTTTTCCTTGCATCTTCCAGGCGCACTTAGGGTCTTGTTCCAGAAAAAAAGAAACATCCCCTAACGAGTATTCTTGTTTGTGCAAAAATGCGCAAATAGGATATTTCTAGTCTTATGTAAACAAGAATACGTGATTGTGTTAATCAAATTGCTTTTTGGTTGCTTATGCCCATTTGCCAAGATTTGTTTGAGGTTTTTTCCAGTCTTCTCCTTCGCATCTTTTGATTCTTGACTTACTTTGACAGAATTGTAATTTTTGATGGGAAATGACCATCAGTTAGAGGGTAAAATTAAAGTTCCAATTTTTATTTTGACTCTGTTTTCTTCTCAACATCTTGATCCTTGATATGCGATGCAATTACTCCTTCGTCTCGGTTCTTCCACATCTCTACTCTTTCAGTTTCTGAGTGAGTACGTTTCCTACCTTTTTTCCATGGGAACTTTTCATCGCTTCTTGAATGAAAAGAGATCGTAATTACTAATTTTGCTTTTATAAAATCTACTCGTTAATCCTTCTAGAGGATCACTTAGATTGTTGCACAGAAAAGTATTAACATTCTTACTTTGAGATTTTACCTAAGTGAGCTTTGCCATTTTGTTTTTTGGTTCTTCCAATTTTATTCTTGTCGGCTTCGTAATCTTTCAGCGCCTCTCAATTCTTGAATGAAATTAGAAGACTAGAAAAATGAACGCTTAGCCTAATTACTAGAAAAATATAAAGAAAAATGACTAGAACCGAGCAAATGGCATGACTGCATCACACATCAGGGAAGCAAATTGTTAAATCAAGAGGCGAAAGTATTGAGTGCGATTTAATAAACTCCTGCGCTACTACATCTTGCGCATTTATCCTTCTAATTGTATATTTGGAACACAGTGATTCTGGAATTCTCAAACTTCAGAGAATACCAAAGCTGAGGAAAAAATATTGGGTCACCTGTTTGTGCTTCAATTTCTTACCTTTTACATCTGAATTGCTTTGAAGGGCAGTTGAAATAGACTAAAATGTTTGGATCGTTTGGCGAAAATCACATTGTACTTTAAATTTTAACCGCCATGGGCTTAAATGAAAAACTCATCGTATACTAGCCGCAGTCATAGAATTCTCTTCGTTGCCAGGTTTATTTCTCACAGTTCAGAAGATTGCTCATAATGATTCTCGCTAAGCAAGTTTAGTGTAAGAGTTAATGGAAGTTTAACTGTTAAGAAGTG